CAAAAGGAAGGCTAGTGGCCGATGGTGCTGGAGGTGTACGACGAATCCGATGCTGTAAAGATCAGCACACCATAGGAACCTGGAATGTAAGATCTATGAGCCACGGCAAACTGGAGGTTGTTATTGGTGAGATGTCAAAACTAAAGATAGACATTCTGGGGGTCAGCGAATTGAAATGGATCGGAATGGGCCACTTCACATCAGATGACCATCAGATCTACTACTGCGGACAAGAGGAACACCGAAGAAATGGAGTAGCCTTCATCATTAATAAGAAAGTTGCTAAAACCGTGCTTGGACACAACCCAAAAAATGACAGAATAATCTCAATTCGAGTGCAAGGAAAGCCTTTCAACATTACAGTGATCCAAATATATGCCCCAACCACAGCTGCTAAAGAAGCAGAAGTAGATCAGTTCTATGAGGATCTGCAGGACCTACTGGATAATACACCAAAAAGAGACATTATTTTCATTACAGGAGACTGGAATGCGAAGGTGGGAAGTCAAATGACAACTGGGATCACAGGCAAGCATGGTCTGGGAGAACAAAATGAAGCGGGACGCAGGCTGATAGAATTTTGCCAGGAAAACTCGCTGTGTATAACAAACACTCTCTTCCAACAACCTAAAAGACGGCTTTATACATGGACTTCACCAGATGGTCAGCACCGAAATCAGATTGACTACATCCTTTGCAGCCAAAGGTGGCGGACATCCATCCAGTCGGTGAAAACAAGACCTGGGGCTGACTGTAGTTCAGATCACAAACTTCTTATTGCTCAATTTAGAATAAAACTAAAGAGATCAGGGAAAACACACACACCAGTTAGATATGATCTCACTAACATTCCTAGCGAATATGCAGTGGAAGTGAAGAACAGATTTGAAGGACTAGATTTAGTAAACAGAGTCCCAGAAGAACTATGGACAGAAGTCCGACATTGTTCAGGAGGCGGCAACAAAGTACATCCCAAAGAAAAAGAAAACCAAGAAGGCAAAATGGTTGTCTGCTGAGACACTGGAAGTAGCCCAAGAAAGGAGGGAAGCAAAAGGAAACAGTGATAAGGGGAGATATGCCCAATTAAACGCACAATTCCAGAGGTTAGCCAGAAGAGATAAAGAACTATTTTTAAACAAGCAATGCATGGAAGTGGAAGAAGACAACAGAATAGGAAGGACAAGAGACCTCTTCCAGAAAATTAGAAACATTGGAGGTAAATTTCAGGCAAAAATTGGCATGATAAGGAACAAAGATGGCAGGGACCTAACAGAAGCTGAAGAGATCAAGAGAAGATGGCGAGACTATACAGAAGATCTGTATAGGGAGGATAATAATATCGAGGATAGTTTTGACGATGTGATGAGTGAATTAGAACCAGACATCCTGAGGAGTGAGGTTGAATGGGCCTTAAGAAACATTGCTAACAACAAGGCAGCAGGAGATGACGGGATCCCAGCTGAACTGTTTAAAATCTTGAAAGAGGATGCTGTCAAGGTGATGCATGCCATATGCCAGCAAATATGGAAAACACAAGAATGGCCATCAGACTGGAAAAAATCAACTTATATACCCATACCAAGAAAGGGAAATGCTAAAGACTGCTCAAACTTCCATACAGTGGCCCTTATTTCTCATGCCAGTAAGGTAATGCTCAAGATCCTGCAAGGAAGACTCCAGCAATACATGGAGAGAGAGTTGCCAGATGTACAAGCTGCGTTTAGAAAAGGCAGAGGAATGAGAGACCAAGTTGCCAATATCCGCTGGATAATGGAGAAAGGCAGGGAGTTTCAGAAAAACATCTATTTCTGTTTCATTGACTATTCCAAAGCCTTTGACTGTGTGGATCATAATAAATTGTGGCACGTTCTTGGTGGTATGGGCATACCAAATCACCTTATCTCTCTCCTGAGGAATCTGTATAACGACCAAGTAGCAACAGTCAGAACTGACCATGGAACAACCGACTGGTTCAAGATTGGGAAAGGCATACGGCGGGGTTGTATACTCTCACCCAACCTATTCAGCTTGTATGCAGAACACATCATGCGATGTGCGGGGCTTGAGGAATGCAAGGCTGGGGTGAAAATTGCTGGAAGAAACATTAACAACCTTAGATATGCAGATGACACCACTTTGATGGCCGAAAGCGAGGAGGAGCTGAGGAACCTTCTAATCAATGTGAAAATAGAAAGTGCAAAAGCTGGGTTTCAGTTAAACATAAAAAAAACCAAGATTATGGCAACAAGAATGATTGACAACTGGGAAATAGAGGGAGAAAACGTGGAGGCCGTGACAGACTTTGTATTTCTAGGTGCAAAGATTACTGCAGACGCAGACTGCAGCCAGGAAATCAGGAGACGCTTACTTCTTGGGAGGAGAGCAATGACCAATCTTGATAAAATAGTGAAGAGTAGAGACATCACCCTGGCAACAAAGATCTCCATAGTAATAGCAATGGTATTCCCTGTAGTCACCTACGGATGTGAGAGCTGGACCATAGGGAAGGCTGAGCGAAGGAAGATAGATGCTTTTGAACTGTGGTGTTGGAGGAAAGTTCTGAGAGTGCCTTGGAGTGCAAGAAGATCCAACCAGTCCATACTTCAGGAAATAAAGCCTGACTGCTCATTGGAGGGAAGAATAGTAGAGGCCAAGATGAAGTACTTTGGCCACATCATGAGAAGGAAGGAAAGCTTAGAGAAGACAATGATGCTGGGGAAAATGGAAGGAAAAAGGAAGAGGGGCCGACCAAGGGCAAGATGGATGGATAGTATCCTTGAAGTGACTGAATTGACCTTGAAGGAGCTGGGGGTGGTGACAGCCGACAGGGAGCTCTGGCATGGACTGGTCCGTATAGTCACAAAGAGTCGGAAACGACTCAACGAATGAACAACAACACAGAAGCCCTTGATCCATTCTTAAAGCCATTCTTCTGCTTTAAAAACCTTCTTGAACAAAATGATTTTAGGCTACCACTGGAAGGACTTTATGTGGTCTCTTCCTCATCTGGCATCCTGGCCTCATATATTTTGATTTTTGCCCACAGGAACTCAGGGCAGCCAACGTACATTATTCCTTATCTTCTCAATTGCAGCATCAGAAGAGTTTCTCTTATGAGTTTTATATGCTTCCTCCAACAATAAAAAAATGGAATATAACACACCCATATACACAAAACCAGCAGCATAGGATAAAAGAAGTACAGTGCTCATAGGTCTACAGATGTCACATGATCTTTAGACAATGGAACACCCTTCCAAGGGAGATCAGATTGGCTCCCTCCCTCTTAACGTTTCAGAGACAAGTTAAAACATAGTTGTTTGAGCAACTATAAATGCAGTGCAACTGATATATAGGAAATCGAATGACTTGACGATGGAATTGGACAACGCTTTGGTAATAAGGAGACACTAACGATATTGCTTTTGTTATGTTTTATATTGTTTTAATGTTTTAACCTGTATTATGATATTATGTGTACTGATTTGTTGTAAACCGCCTTGAGTCGCCGACTGACTGACCAATCTGGTATACAAATACAGTAAATAAATGAATAATAAATAAACAGAAGAGTATAAGATTAAAAATTAGAAGTTAAAAGGCCTAGAAAAATAAAAGGGTCTTCTCCTGCTAGGCAAACCTTTTTGATGAGGCACATTGTAAATTGGGTGCCACTGCTGGAAAGGCTCTCTACCCAGAAGCTATGCATGTTTCCTTGTTTGGTAAAAGCATCCAGAGAAAATAACTTGAAACAAATCTGAAATGATCTTCAGAGTTTCAACCACCATGGTTAGTGGCCAGACTGTCTAGAGCAGACATGGGCAAAATTTGGCCCTCCAGGTGTTTTGGACTTCAACTCCCACAATTCCTAACAGCCAGTTGGCTGTTAGGAATTGTAGGAGTTGAAGTCCAAAACACCTGGAGGGCTAAAGTTTGCCCATGCCTGCTCTAGAGGATCCTGGGAAGCAGTTCAAAAAGTATGCTGTTCAAGTACTAAATGTCGCATATCTAGGTACGGTACCTTATAAAGTTCCAGATGACAGGCTGTTAGAATATGGATAATTATAAACAAAGGTATTTCTGTCTAGACAGGGCCATAAATGCTGTATCATTCCAAGCAGCTAAAATGTTCTACTAGGTTGCAGTTTTTCCACAGAGTCCGCTTGTATATAACAATAACACTGGATTTAAGTGCACATTTAGACCTTGAGCCTGATCCTTAATGAAGAGTGCAACCCTTTCTGGAGCATAAACCTCACAACCTCTGAGGATGATTGCCACAGATGCAGGTGAAACGACAGGGGAGAATGCTTTTAAAACATGGTCACACAGCCTGAAAAACCTACAACAACCCAGTGATTCCGGCCGTGAAAGCCTTCAGCAATACATTTTCTGGAGCAGGTTGAATACCACTCTGCAGGACAGACCATTCTTTCACAGTACCTCTGTGCATCTCACCTCATTGGCCATGATCCACCTTGTTGCTACATCTTGACACTAGTGCCATATATATATATATGGGGCCCCTGGTGGCGCAGTGGGTTAAAGTGCTGAGCTGCTGAGCTTGTTGGCTGAAAGGTTGCAGGTTTGATTCCAGGGAGTGGCGTGAGCTTCTGCTGTCAGCTCTAGCTTCTGCCAACCTAGCAGTTCGAAAACATGCAAATGTGAGTAGATCAATAGGTACCGCTCCGGCGGGAAGGTAACGGTGCTCCATGCAGTCATGCCAGCCACATGACCTTGGAGGTATCTATGGACAATAATGGCTCTTCAGTTTAGAAATAGAGATGAGCACCACACCCCAGAGTCAGACATAAATGGACTTAATGTCAGGGGACAACCTTTACCTTAACACACACACACACACACACCATACACACACACACAAGTAATACTTTATTGAAAATAAAATAAAAATTGTTTGGGAATTTACTGACTTTTTCTAGTTTTCATGAATTGTGTGTATACTTATGATCTGATATTCGTCTCCTTTCTCCCCACAGGTCTCCTTTTAAGACAAGCCATCCACTAGAGAGCCTGAGGCTCCATGGCAAACCCAACACCCCCTACAGGCTGTGGCAACATAAGCAGTGATTATTACTTCCTCTGTAACACTGATGTCGATTGGGGCATTGTCGTTGAGTCGCTGGCTGCAGTTGGTATTGTCACCACAGTCATCCTCTTGTTAGTGCTTCTTTTTAGTATCTGTAGGGTCCAAGATGGCACGAAACGAAGCCTGATCCCCACCCAGTTCCTCTTCCTTCTGGGCACTCTTGGCATCTTTGGTCTCATCTTTGCCTTCATCATCAGGCTCAATGAAACAACGGCCCCCACCCGCTTCTTCCTTTTTGGGGTCCTTTTTGCCCTCTGCTTTGCCTGCCTCCTTGCCCATGCCTTTGACCTCATCAAGCTGGTACGAGGAAGAAACCCATTTTCAGGCTGGGTTTTGCTGGTGATCACTATCAGCTTGACCACCGTGCAACTTATTATAGCCATACAGTATGTGGCTATCAACATTGTAGCACTAAAGAATCTAGACAAAGGCAAGCAGCTGGATGAAAAAAGACGTGAAGACTTTGTTCTGCTTCTCATTTACGTTCTTTTCCTGATGGCCCTCCTCTTAATTGTTTCCTTGTTTGTTTTCTGTGGGCCATACAAAAGATGGAAGAGGCATGGTGTGCACATATTCCTGACTGCCTTGGTCTCCACAGGCATTTGGGTGGTTTGGATCACCATGCTGATGAAAGGCAACTTAGATTTGGAAAAGAGACCAGTTTGGGACGATCCTGTCATCAGTATTGCTCTGCTTGCGAATGGATGGGTTTTCCTGATTTTCTATGCAATTCCAGAACTCTGTTTCCTCACGGATCCAGAGAAGCCTGGGGACTACCCACCAGAAAATAATTTCTGCCAGCCTAAGCACATTAAAAAAAACTATGGCGTGGAAAACCGAGCATATGCTCAAGAAGATAACACACAAGGTAGGACAAGACAAGGTACAGTACCATCTTTAACTGAGTTGTAGGATTGGCTAATGCTTTCTTTGTGAAGGGAAGGCTGCCCTTTGGCAAGCTGAAAAATAATTGGAGTCTTTCAAGAATAGAATTGAATAGAATACAAGAAGCTGGAGGCACTTGTACATGGCAGGGTTCCATGCTCCTGCTTAGAGTTGTGGAGCGTGAACAAGTACTACAAGGAAAAAAACACTAGATGCCCCTGAGGTATTGCTAGGTGGCCAGACTTACAGTAGTTGTGCTTAAACTGCTCCACCGTTAACCATGACGAAGTGGGATGGGGATGCTGCAAAACCATTGATTATTTGTTTACTTATTTCTGCATGTCATCATTTGCCTGATAATGCTACATGTCCAATCAGCTGCATGATGACATCAGAGGATTCTGGAAACAGAAACCAAGTAGCAGGAAGATAAATGGATTAATGAAGTATCTTTACGTTGCACCCAAATGATAGCTTTCTGATTGCTAGTTGATTTATAGTTTCAAAAGAACCTCAAAGCTACAACTCTTCTTAGAAGGAAATGCCATTTTAAATATTTATTTGTCATTCCTTGTTGCAGCACAGAAAAACAAAAGTATCACACACAAGTAAACATGTTTCCTTAACTTAGAATTCCATGAAATTAAAGTTTGTTCTCATTGATTAATCATGCAGCCCTTCACTGAATAATCAATTTGAGGTGGCGGCAGAATAATATACCAGTGCATTTTTTAAATAAAACCTTCCTTATCAAACATTCTTTTGCCCCGATCAATCCGAATTAAATTTATAGGTGACTGAATTTAAAATAACTAACCAGGTCATATCACAATTGAACAATCCCATAGCTCCATCATAGCTAGATATTAGAGGTACCGGAGTGATTCATATTTTCAGGACAAGCATTCTTCACAAATTACTCATAGAGCTTATTTATACAGAATAATCAGTCCGTGGGGAGAGCCAACTATTTGTAATATGTGGAATGTGTTCTGTAGTCCCATTTTATGCAAGTCTACCTGGAAATAAATATTTTTGTATTCACTGGGACTCAATTTCAGTGGAAGTGTGCAGAGGCATGTAGCTATGAAGGCACATCCTTCTGTTGAATCTGAGTAAGCTCTAATTCACTAGCTTTGCCATATGAGAAGGTAAGCATTGTTTATGTCAATGCCACAATGTGGGGTAATGGGGACCGATGGTACACATTTGGCCATAACTGTCTCTCAGCAGGGATGATGAAACCACATAAAAACATTAAGTTTCTTTTAATGCTGGGTAGACTTGATCCATTGAAACCATTAGATTTATCTTTGTTTGAACTCACTGTCAACAATCGATGGACTAGGTTTTGGGACTAAGCAACAGAATGCCAGCCAAAGTGTGTATAAGGCTCAAACACATTTTTGCTACACGTGATTTCCTGGAACCAAATTGAGAATGCTTTGCTTAATTTTAGCAATTCTAAGATACCAACTTATTGTCTCTCTTACCCCAATCTCCCTTTCGTCATTTTAGATGGAAACAAAGATCACCCGTATGTTCCTTATTCCACTCATTTCCAACTGGAGGTAAATAAATGGCCTTTTATTTTTTTTAATACTGGTACAGTTTGATACAACTTGATACAGTTTGATGCCCCTTTAATCAACTGGCCTAGAAGGGAATTTCAAAATGCTTGAATAACATTTTGGAGGCGAGAAAGCTAGCAGATTACTCATTAAAGAAAACGTGAGGCTGTGTTGTTAGCGGAAAACTCAACTAAGAAATTGCATTTCATACATTAGGTCTGTGTAACAGGGTGTTTTGGTTATTTTGTATGTACAAAAGAAGAGTTTAACAGGAGAAAGTAAGAGAAAATGGGATATTTAAAAATCAGGGCATTAATAGAGCCTTTCCCTGTCAGATGACGACAATTTGAGAGTATGCCTTGTGGTCACATGGGTGCTCTTGGATCAGGGATGGGAAGCAGGTGGAGCTCTAGATTTTGTTGGACTGCAGCTTCTATCATTCCTCACGATTTACTCTGCTGGCTAGAGCTACTGGGACTCCAACAACATCTGGGTGGCTGCATACAACCCCTGTTACACTAGCTCCACCGGCTGCCAGTCTGTTACCGAGCACAATTCAAAGTGCTAGCTTTAGCCTATAAAGCCCTAAACAGTTCCGGCCCAGTTTACCTGTCTGAACGTATCTCCCCTATAAACCATCTTGGAAATTAAGATAATCTAGGGAGGCCCTGCTCTTGGTCCCACCTTCTTCACAAGCAAAAAAAATGTGCATTTAAAGTTTCAATAGCTCTTGTCTGTCTCCAGGAAACCCTACATTGTGCAAATCTCTGTTCCTAGATTATTTAAAGCCCCCCCCCCCCAAGTGTAGCAAAGGCATTCCTAATGTGAAAAAGAAGCAAGAGATTGGGTTTCCTCTGCATATATATATTTACTTTAAAATGCATAATTCCTTTTTCTCTACAGAACCTGGAGCCCCAACAAGATTTCTCCATTCCAAGGCCTAAAGCACGGCCCAGTCCTTATCAAGACTACTCCGGAGGGAAAGGTCTCAATTAACAACTTTACAAGGAACACAAGAAGAGCAATATGGAGTTGACTGAGGTGCTAGAAACCATAACAGATATGGCATTACTTACAAACAAAACAGGGATCTAGTTCAGCACTACAGTGTATGAAGGACAAGACTTTCATATTTCGCCAGCTTACCTTTTTATTTGTCTCTACTCACACAGCACTTTATGATTCTTTGGTCAATAACTTCTGTACACCTTCTCAGATGTTCAAGATATAACATTTGCCCCATTCCTTATCATAACATCATTGCTAGTTACCACCCATGGCTACAATTGTGGGGACAAGTCTGAAGTGAGGCTATTGCTGTACATATTTTCTGTCTGATTAATAATCACAATTGTATAATATTCTAAATCGTTTGTAGAGATGGCACACATAAAGCAGGCTACCAGACTTCCCCCCACCGATCATGTGGGCAATGAGAGAGATGGTGCCATTTTTCAAGGATAGACTGAAAAATGTGAAACCAGAGAGTGGCTTCCCCCCTAATGTGGCTGCAGTTGGTGGTTGTCCAAAGAATGCTTGTACCATTTCGTAGTTTTATTGAATTTATTTACCTGAACAATTTGGCCAAGCTTATTTTCTTCATAATGCGTCACAAGCAGGAAAAAGACATTCAACCCGTTCATGGTGGTTTACTCCCCAAATTACTCCCCAAATGACTAATCCATCTTTGACCGGACAATACCTGAACTGTCTGCCTTAACTTGCGTGTGTTTTTCCTATTTGCCTTCTGAAGCACTGGAATCAGTAAGAATATTCAATGTAAAGCACTTCATGGTTTTCTGACCATTCTAGCATATTAGAATCTAAAGTACTTTTGGCTCAGTTTTAATTTAAGAATTGTGTTCTTTCTTTCTTCATAAACTCTGGTCAACTGTCCATGAAGGATTCTGATATGTCTCCATTATATATTTGATTGATGCTAAAGTTGTAATGAAAACTACGCTTTGCAGTTCCTTACTTCTAACAGTCAGTCACTGCTTGTAGATGTTGAAGGAACAGATGATCATACTTGATGGAGTTCTCTAGGGTCAAGAAGACAATGACTCTTTGCAGAAGATACAAACTGGACCTGCTCCTGGAAAAAAAAATCTACTCACAAATTCAGTTCCGGTCCTTATTAGTATCACTGACCACTCTGGTATTTATTTATGCATTTCCCAAAATAAATGGCCAAAATAATTGAGTTGTTGTAAGTTTTTTGGGCTGTATGGCTATGTTCCAGAAGCATTCTCTCCTGACATTTTGCCTATATCTCTGGCAAGCATCCTCAGAGGTTGTGAGGTCTGTTGGAAACTAGGAAAATGGGGTTTCTATATTTGTGGAATGTCCAGGGTGGGAGAAAGAACTCTTGTCTCTTGAATGCTTCTGGAACATGGCCATACAGCCTGAAAAACTTACAACAACCCAGTGATTCCGGCCATGAAGGCCTTTGATGATACAGACACCAAAATCATTGTTTATTAGAGGAAACCATGAGATGAATGGAGTGAAACTCATAATCTGTGACATGAAATCCTATTGAGGCATTGAACTGTGAGGTTTTGATTTTGACATCATTAACCAAATGATGTAGTTAAACTACAAGTTTTAGTTAGAGGAAGAGAAATTTGGGGTGAGTGATGTGAGTGGATGGGAGAAATGTAGTGGAGGTCTCAGATTCTCCAGTCTGATACTTATCTGAGACTGAACTTCAGTAAAGTCAGTGGAACTTTCTTCTGATCAGATACATATGACCAGGGATTCTCAAACTAAGGCCTGAGGGCCAGATACGGCCCTCCAAGGTCATTTACCCAGCCCTTGCTCAGGGTCAACCTAAGTCTGAAACGACTTGAAAGCACACAACAGCAGCAGCAGCAGCAGCAGGAGCAGCAGCAGGAGCAGCAGCAGCAACAATCCTATCTCATCAGCCAAAAGCAGGGCCACACTTCCCATTGAAATACTAATAATTTTATATTTGTTAAAATTGTTCTTCATTTTAATTACTGTATTGTTTTTAAGTGGGTTTTTTTGCACCACAAATAAGATATGTGCAGTGTGCATAGGAATTCATTCATGCTTTTTTCCAAATTATAATCCAGACCTCCAACAGTTTGAGGGACTGTGACTTGGCCCTTTGTTTAAAAAGTTTGAGGACCTCTGCATATGATATTGTTTGAAATTTCCCCAACTCTCATTCAATTTCCGGATAAACTCTAGCTGGGAAAGAATACATGGCAACAAAAACTTTATCCCTTTTGCGAACTCTTCCATAACGTTTGTTCACACATTGCAGAAAAGGAAAATATGAAATTATGTTCATTGCTATTTCATTTTTTTTCATGGAAGATTGAATCTTGTACTTAAATTTCTCCCAATGAAATTTGTTGGAAACACAATTTCAATGGATGGAATGCTCTCATCCGAACGCATGAGAAAGGAATGATAAGGTTCTGTTTATGTGCTTGTAACTATATTATACTATTTATTTGTTTATTTCACATACTACACTAAGCACAATGGTTATTATCATTTAATAAATAATTATATATAATTTGTAATCTTTTTTGCTTTATTCCTTTTTATTAATATACTCAGCAATTCCTCTCTGTCTCTGTGCAGGGATGAGAATAATGAAATTTCACTGTTGTATTCTTCGTACTTAAGGGCACAACCACTCATAGCTAAGACACTGCCAGATATTCAGAACCTTTTAGATGTTCCTTCAGACCTCTTTGTTTCAATGTCACTCAATATCTGTCACATAGAAATATCATTGTAACACCTCCATCATGTCTTAAATGCTTTTAATGTGTTTTTGGCATGTGTGTATGCACATGTGATTTTTTTAGACAGTCTTTGATGATGGAATGATTAGTGTACTGAAGGATGAGAAATGTTAATAAAGAGGCTCTGCATTAAATATAAACAAAGAGACACCGAAACTAGCCAAGATATGCAAACCACAAAGTGAGGAAGTGGAGTAGATGAGGAAAATAGTAAGTTGTTTTGGAGAGAATATTCCAGCAATGAAGACAAGGCAAAATAAGGAAATGTGCCTCTTTACAGCGATATTGAATAACCTATATAAATAAAAATGTAAATGTTCATTTGTTCAAAATCTTAAATCTCCCAAAATACTTCACTGATTGCTTTGAAATTTTGACACAAAGTTGCAATTGAATATGCACATGTTTTTATGTTTTATATATGTACTATTATATAAATGTCACACCTGTGACAGGTAAAAAGATGTTTTTTTAAAAAAACAGCACCGTCTGCTGGATGTCAAAGCAAGACACGCTATACCGCATATTTTATGATTCTATTTTAATGTTAAACCCTAAAACCTTCTCTGCCAAAGAGTTCTGGTGCCTCACCAAACTGCAGTTCCTAGGAGCTGTAGCCCAAAGCTCAAACCAAAAGATGCTCATTCTGCAAAGGCTTTCAGAAACAGCATTCAGATAACAAACTCATTCCAATAAGAGATCAGCACATGCACTGCCAGGAATGATTTATGTGAAGATTATCTCAAATTGGAGGAGTAAATATGTAGTACTGTTTTCACTCATGGGCGAATTCTTGATTTCCCATTTGTTTTACCTTCTTTTTTAGGTATTTGAAATGACAAAAAATTGGAAAGATAGATGACAGCAAACAAAAGCTGTGGCACTGCCCCATATATAATTAATTTTTCACATGAGTGCTTTCATTTAACAGTGTAGATGTCCCCATGGTTTGCCAACTAAACTGGAAGCATGACGGCCTAATCTGTTTCCACAGTCTACTATAAGTGTTCCAATGGCAATGATACAGTGCTATTTTTGCCAATTAAAAACTCTTCAGGACTAAGCCGTGGATGTTTTCCTCAGACATTTTGCTGCCTATTTTCTTCCTCATCTTTCTTTGTTTTGGAGGCCACTCTCTAGGTATTCCCCATGCCATTACCCTATGAGTGACCATTCTTTTCCTTTCATTCCCTTGTCTTTGCAAGCCTCTACTTGCCTTTAACGTGCCTTCCTCTGTACCCGAAACAGTGTTCTGAAGTCAGCCTACTTCTCCTCCACCCTGAAAGTCAGCACGTTGCTATGCAATGATCAAAAGTTTTGAAGGAAACTGGTGTTTGTTTTCCTTTTTAACCATGATGATTGCACACAGTAATGCATTATGTAATGAAGAATACACCCTTCCCATATTAAAGCACATGAGCATAACCGGTACATAGTGGTGTTGCTGTTTTGAAAATCATTTTGGCCCAACTCAAAATATCCAGCATTGGCTGAATAATGGTAAGGAACAATGTCAATCACCAAAAGTTTATATCTCAAGAGGTCCCAACTATTTTAGATTGACTTCTCAAACAGTTTGGATTTAATCCAGGGTCTCTCTGAAAGGATTTCTTCACACCACTCTTCTGAAACTCTCAGGAGCGAAAAAAAAAGCTCTTGTTCATAACTCTCTCCAGAAAAATTATATATAGAACATTGTTGCATAATGGCACAAAATGTATAGTGAGAAGATATGTGTGATTTCTTTCATATATAAATGTGGGTTTTTGAAGGCCAACCCAGTAGTTCACTTATGTTCTTTCATATGGTCCTACTGAGAGAAAGATAGACTGTATCTTCTGCAGACAAGATGTAAGTAAATCCCATCAGGTTTATTTTGTTTTTGGTAGAGTCAATACTGATTTATTCTTATTTTCTCTTTTTTCCAGCTGTTTTAAACATGATCACACTCTCTCCTTTGCCTACTTCCCCTCTTTGATCTTGATTTTCTTCAATTGAGCAAACTGAATTCAGAGGGCAAAAACCTTTGAAATTTATTAACACAGCAGGGTAAGAGAAGAGGACAGAGACAGATTATTCCATGTATATTCCATATGTCCCATGTATTTCCAAGTTAAAGCAAACATCTGCAGTGTTTTCTAGTTTCCATGTTTTTCCTCATTAATAACTTTAATATTTTTATTCTACTCTGATTCAACTTGGCAGGGGCCAAATGAGCTAAAGGTCCAGTTTGAACTTGGAAACAAGATCAGCCCCATTTAGCTCTTGGATGAGAGATTACTAACACATACCAGGCACTGTACGCTATATTGCAGATGATGGGAGTGACAAAACCACTTTCGAATATTCCTAGCCTAAGCTCTATTTGTTTATTTGTATCAAAAGCATTGCATACATAAGTATAAAACTGATAAAATAGAGGGAGCACAAGTGGCTAAATAATTTTAGACCAAAAATGGGCAACAGTGAACACATTGTCTGTAACTGTAAACAATTTTTCCTCTATGCATGAGGCAGGACATTGCGGACAAGCATACAGATGTGGAGTTGTCTGTTCTGCTCCACAGTCGCACAAGGTGAAAGATTCTTCTAGGTAGTGCCATTCTGCCAGGTTGTCTTTTGATCTGCCCACTCCACTTCTGAGTCTGTTCAGGGACTTCCAAGTTGCCCATCCTTGGTTTGCCCCTGGAGAAAGACCCTCATGGGGAGCTATCCATTTGAGGTTTCCTGGTTTAGTTGCCCAGAGGGATACTCTTGCTTTTGCTGGGGAAACATTAAGAAGAGTGGTGGTTGGAAGGACATCTCCTGCTGCTCCACTTCCTTTTCCGGCTCCTGAATCTCAATTATTTCCATGGACCTGCTTGTAACTAAGAAC